GGCAATGGATAGGTGAAGGTATGGATAAGCCTGGCAATGGATAGTTGAAGGTATGGATAAGCCTGAAAATGCATAGGTGCAAGTATGGATAAGCCTGAAAATGCATAGGTGCAAGTATGGATAAGCCTGGCAATGGATAGGGGAAGGTATGGATAAGCCTGGCAATGGATAGGGGAAGGTATGGATAAGCCTGGCAATGGATAGGGGAAGGTATGGATAAGCCTGGCAATGGATAGGGGAAGGTATGTATAAGCCTGGCAATGTATAGGTGAAGGTATGGCTAAGGCTGGCCATGGATAGGTGAAGGTATGGATAAGCCTGGCAATGGATAGGTGAAGGTATGGATAAGCCTGGCAATGGATAGGTGAAGGTATGGATAAGCCTGGCAATGGATTGGTGAAGGTATGAATAAGCCTGGCAATGGATTGGTGAAGGTATGGATAAGCCTGGCGATGTATAGGTGAAGGTATGGATAAGCCTGGCAATGGATAGGTGAAGGTATGGATAAGCCTGGCAATGGATTGGTGAAGGTATGAATAAGCCTGGCAATGGATAGGTGAAGGTATGGATAAGCCTGGCAATGGATAGGTGAAGGTATGGATAAGCCTGGCGATGTATAGGTGAAGGTATGGATAAGCCTGGCAATGGATAGTTGAAGGTATGGATAAGCCTGAAAATGCATAGGTGCAAGTATGGATAAGCCTGGCAATGGATAGGTGAAGGTATGGATAAGCCTGGCAATGGATTGGTGAAGGTATGAATAAGCCTGGCAATGGATTGGTGAAGGTATGAATAAGCCTGACGATGGATAGGAAATCAATAAATAAACGATTATATATATATTCCATATTTGATACCATATGCATGATAGAATGATTGGGAAGGGTCATTAGGATTAGTGAAGGGAAAGACAATAGATCCGTCCTGTATATACCGCCCTCATATATACCTGTATATATGAGGGAGCCGGTCGGCCGAGCGGACAGCACACTGGACTTGTGATCTGTGGTCCCAGGCGCCGGCGAGAAACAATGGGCAGAGTTTCTTTCACCCTATGCCCCTGTTACCTAGCAGTAAAATAGGTACCTCGGTGTTAGTTAGCTGTCACGGGCTGCTTCCTGGGGGGGGGTGGAGGCCTGGTCGAGGACCGGGCCGCGGGGACACTAAAAAGCCCCGAAATCATCTCAAGAAGAATCTCAAGATAACCATTCAGAGTGACTGACAGATGTCCTGTCTATCTGTCAACCAGTCTTATATACCCTGGTGTTTGGGCGACCGGCAAGGAAGGAGGAGGAGGGAAGGTAGGTGTCAAGCAAGGTGGATGTGAGGGATGGGTGTAGGAGGGTGGGAAGGGAGGAGCCCCTACAGCACCCGGAGAGGAGAGCACAGGGGCCAGTGTGCGTCTGGTCGCTGTGTAGTGAACACCGGCGCGCTCCCAGCCCTCCGTGGCTGGTGTTTCCTGCCGTGCGGCCGCCTTGGCTAAGCCTTCCTGATGCGCTTCATGTAGGGAGGCTGGAGCCTCTGAACATATTCCCGTTGAAACTCTCGGCTAACACTCTGAGAGGCGAGCTGTGTTTGGCAAAGCGAAATGTCCAACTATAATTAGTTTTATTTAGCGTTAAATTGTGTGGCAGGAAGTGGGCCACACTATGCCTGTCTAAGTGATGTGAAGGGGTTGAAGGGCAAGTGTTTTTACTAGTGTACTTGGCGTCTTAAGTAAGCTCTTAACTCTGTGATATAAACGTATGATGTGAAGTACACATATGAAACCGTAGAGTGCTGTCGATAATTGCTATATACAGACAACATTCAGATAATAATCAAATCACATCTATCGAATGAACTAATTACTGGTCGATGTTCTCATCGACTACGAGTTGATGTTCTCATAAGGAAGAAAACAACGAGAAACTGATAGATTAAAAAGAAGTAAGAATAAAATTTGACGTTCCACAAAAACTTGCAGTCACTTTCCTAGATATAAATTCTATATGTGGAGATGTTGGGTCTTGTTGTGCAATGCTCTTGGCTGCAACTAATAAAATCAAATCTCCAAAACATGCCACCGTCTTTACCAATATTTTTTTTCCGAGAAATTAGGGTTGTGAAATGAATGGGAGATTTGCGGTTAAACCTCTGAAATCTATCCCACAATTATGATAAACTTTTAATTAATAATTACCTATTGTGAGATTATATTTTTGAATACGTGGGAATCATGATATTCATGCAAGGGCGAATCGTTCATTGTGGCTTTCTGAACCATTCAATAAGTAGCACTGAAAGGAACACCGGAACCAAAAAGTAGCGGACAACGCCACTTCATCGTGTTCCAGGAGAAGGTGAATAAGTCAATGAGAAGATCAATGAGTGCTATGGCTGCTCTCTGAAATGTTCATCTCACATTACGAAGTATCAAGGAGCGTGTGACGTCCCTTAGATGGATCTCTAGCATGAGCTCTCACTGTAAGTGCTGCACGCCCACACCAATGATGAGTTGGTTATTGACCTCAGACAGATATGTGTTTTATTGATCTCTGAACCTTATTCTTCCACCCAGGCAGCCAGCTAGCTAGATAGTTGGATATTCTTCCACCCAGGCAGCCAGCTAAATAGTTGATCATTCTTCTAACCAGCCAGCCAGCTAAATAGTTGATCATTCTTATAACCAGCCAGCCAGCTAGATAGTTGATCATTCTTATAACCAGCCAGCCAGCTAGATAGTTGATCATTCTTATAACCAGCCAGCCAGCTAGATAGTTGATCATTCTTATAACCAGCCTGCCAGCTAAATAGTTGATCATTCTTATAACCAGCCAGCCAGCTAGATAGTTGATCATTCTTCTAACCAGCCAGCCAGCTAAATAGTTGATCATTCCTCCACCCAGCCAGCCAGCTAGATAGTTGAACATTCCTCCACCCAGGCAGCCAGCTAGATAGTTGAACATTCCTCCACCCAGCCAGCCAGCCAGCTAGTCAATAATTCTTCCACACACCTAGCTTGATAGTTAACCATTCCTTCTCCTTCCTAGCTAGTTTGATTCCTCCTCCCATCCACTTTGCTAGTCATTCATTCCTCCAGCTAGATTGACAATGGACCATTAGCTAACGTAGCTACCTAGCTAATCAACTAATAGTCAACATGTATATTCAAGAAATGAGTGTCATTCTGGAATATATCTGAACGGCTTGTATATTGCTCCAGTTCCCTGCAACTCCAACCCCGAATTAAATTACGTTTATTTCCACTCAGACGACTGATAATCAATCAATCCTCTGCACCCATCTTCAACTCACTCACCCACCCAATCACAGGCTGTGAATCCATTAATCCATCTGCATGATTAATTTGTACGTGAATTAAATTGTTGAAAGTAACTGCATTTAAATAATTATCTAACGACTAGAGCTGGCAGGTGTTTCTCACATCACCTGCCCTTCAGTCTTTGAATATATGTAATTGTAATATGTGAGTACATTTTGACCCGTTCAGTTCTCTTTCTGGGAATACATATTGATTCAACAAAGAGTAAATGTGAATAATGTGGACATTCCTCACTGTAGTCTAATAATAATCGTCAATGATATCGGCTGATCCAGGAAATATTTGGTCACGTTCTAGCGCGAAAACTTGTCTTTCATGGTTGGCCTGATATTGTCAGTGATAATTAATATAATTTGCAACATAACATTATGCAAGACGGTCATAATAGTCTGATTAAAATAATAAGGATTAGACCAAATAAAGGTGGATGATAGGCCGATGACCAGTGTCGAATGTTTCGTTGCTCGCGCTACTAAATCGGAAGATTAGATATTTTGACTAATCAGGTTATCCCGAATTCCTACAAGTTCTTTGCGTGCAGATGGCCGGGAACTTAGCACAGGAACTTGTCTGATTACCGGCCTTGGTTCTGGCAACTTACCTATGAACCTTCCCGAAGATTCATCCTTGTCCATTGATCAGTATAGAACATCCTTCTTAATGGGTTGGATCAACGACGGCCTCGCTTCTTGCAGGGGTCAGGGCTCGATCCCCCATGGTATATGAGACCGGGCACCGTTTTTTGCTCCATCCTCATAAGGTTCCAGCTTAAGAGAGAGAGAGAGAGAGAGAGAGAGAGAGAGAGAGAGAGAGAGAGAGAGAGAGAGAGAGAGAGAGAGAGAGAGAGAGAGAGAGAGAGAGAGAGAGAGAGAGAGAGAGAGAGAGAGAGAGAGAGAGAGAGAGAGAGAGAGAGAGAGAGAGAGAGAGAGAGAGAGAGAGAGAGAGAGAGAGAGAGAGAGAGAGAGAGAGAGAGAGACCGAGACCCCACCGTCAACCCACACCCCACCGGGCCCCATACCCAGCCGTCACCCCACACCCTTAATGTACTCATATCTCTGCGCTCTGTCCTAATATATCATAAATGTCTCATATATCAGCGCCTTGTTTTATATCCTATCCCCTTGTTCTCATATCCCAATTCCATGTCCACATATTCATATTCCTTGTCCTTATATCCCAGCTTCTTGCTTTCATATCCCATATAAATATTATTTTCATATTTTCATATTCATATTTCATAGCTTCTTCTCGACATATTATTTCCAATGATATAATGATCAAACTTGATTGAACGTTCATTCCATTATATATCTTATAATGCCGTATGGTATATTATGTATGACAATTTACGAGAAAGAAGTCTTAAAGGCCGAGAATTAGGCTTGGTTGGTCATCTTTACTTGTGAATGAGGGAAGAAACGTACAAGTGGTCCCAGTGACCCATGGAGGGGGGAGCCGGTGTCTGAGTGGTCAGAACACTGGACGCGTGATCCTGTGGTCCCGGGTTCGATCCCGAGCGCCAGCGAGAAACGATAGCCAGAGTTTCTTTCACCCTGATGCCCGTGTTACCTAGCAGCAAATAGGTACCAGGGAATTAGTCAGCTGCCACGGGCTGCTTCCTGGGGGGTGGAGGCCTGGTCGAGGACCGGGCCACGGGGACACTAAATCCCCGAAATTATCTCAAGATAACTTGACCCGTTGACGACAACAGGGCCATTCTGTCTGGAACAACGGCGTCTGGAATAATGGCGCCTGGAACAACATCGCCTGGAAAAACGGCGCCTGGAACAACGTGACCTGGAACAATGGCGTCTGGAATAACAGGACCTGGAACAACGGCGCCTGGAACAATGTCGCCTGGAACAATGGCGCCTGGAACAATGGCGTCTGGAACAACGGCGTATGGAACAACGGCATCTGGAACAATGGTGCCTGGAAAAATGGCGCATGGAACAATCGCGCCGGGAACAATGGCGCATGGAACAATGGCGCCTGGAAATATGGCGCCGGGAACAATGGCGCCTGGAATAACGGGGCCTGGAACAACGGCGTCTGGAACAATGGCGCATGGAACAACGGCGTCTGGAATAATGGCGCCTGGAATAACGGCGTCTGAAACAATGGCGCATGGAATAACAGCGTCTGTAACAATGACGTCTGGAACAATGGCACCTGGAACAACGGCGCTTTTAACAATGGCGCCTGGGACAATGGAGCCTGGAACAATGGCGCCTGGAACAACGGGACCTGGAGCAATTGAGTCTGGAATAATCTCGCCTGACACAATGGGGACTGGAACAATTGCGCCAGGAAAAATGGCGCCTGGAACAACGGGACCTGGAACAATGGTGCCTGGAACAACGGCGTCTGAGACAATGGCGCCTGGAACAAGGGCGCCTGGAACAATGGCGTCTGAAACAATGGCGCCAGAAACAATTGCGCCAGGAACAACGGGGCCTGGAACAACGGCGCCTGGAACAACGGGGATTGGAAAAATGGCGCCAGGAAGAACGGCGCCTGGGACAATGGCGTTGGGAACAATTGCACCTGGAACAATGGCGTCTGGAACAATTGCGCCTGGAACAACAGCGTGTGAAAAAAATGGCACCTGGAACAACGGCGCATGGAACAATGGCGCCTGAAACAATGGTGCCTGAAACAACGGCGTATGAAAGAATTGCGCCTGGAACAATGGCGCCTGGAACAGTTGCGCCTGGAACAACGGAGCCTGGAACAACTGCGCCTGGAACAATGGCGCCTGAAACAATGGCGTCTGGAAAAACTGGGCCTGGAACAGTGACATCTGGAACAATGGCGCCTGGAACAACGGCGCCTGGAACAATTGCGCCTGGAACAATGGCGCCAGGAACAATGGCGCGTGGAACAACGGCGTCTGAAACAATTTCGTCTAGCACAATTGCGTCTGGAACCACGGGGCCTGGAACAATGGCGCCTGGAACAACGGGGCCTTGAAAAATGGAACCTGGGACAATTTCGGCTGGAACAATGGCGCCTGGAACAATGGTTCCTGGAACAATGGCACCTGAAACAATTGCGCCTGGAAAAACGGGGCCTGGAACAACGGCGTCTGAAACAATGGCGTCTGAAACAACGGCGAATGGAACAACGACGCCTGAAACAATGGCGCCTGGAACAACGGCGTCTGAAACAATGGCGCCAGGAACAATGGTGCCTGAAACCATGGCGCCTGGAACAACGGCGCCTGGAACAATGGCGTTTGGAACAACGGGGCCTGGAACAATGTCGTTTGGAACAACGGGGCCTTGAACAATGGCGCCTGGAACAACGGCGTCTGAAACAATGACGCCTGGAACAACGGCGCCAGGAACAATGGCGCCTGAAACAACGGCGTCTGGAACAATGGCGACTGGAACAATAGCGCCTGGAACAAAGGCGTCTGGAACAACGGGGCCTGGAACAATGGCGTCTGGAACAATGGCGCCTGGAACAACGGGGCCTAGCAATGTACTCTGTTCCATTTGTAGCTTCTGATAGAGATTTTTAACCCTGTCCATTGTAAGTAATTTTTTCAATAGTTTCTTACTATTTATTACACTATATAATGTACATATATATGATATTGAAACAAATATATATGGATAAAGTCTGGGAAAGTACCTTCGTTTGTTCTCCAATATGGAAAAAAATCTATATAAAATCTATACGGAAAAATCAACACTGAAAAAATATCTGATTATTAAAAGAGTTCTTCAAGGTCAATAATGATTCAACCTGATCAAAAATCTACGTTGAATAATCTGAAGTCTTAATTAGATTTGAATCTAGACTAGATTAGAAAAAAATCTAATGACATTTCGTTGATATTTTACAGCATATTTTACCTCACTAATGTGATGGAGCATGATTAATGGTGACATTGACTAGTCCAGCATAACAGAATTTACATGATTTTTGGCGCGGTTAAAGCGGTCAAACCTAGCTCATGCTCGCATGAGCTAGGTTTGACGTTGCTAATGATATACATTACGTTGCTAATGCTATACACACACACACACACACATATATATATATATATATATATATATATATATATATATATATATATATATATATATATATATATATATATATATATATATATATATATATATATATATTAGGTTAGGTAACGTCCCGTAACGGGGTTACGGGGCGTTACCTAACGCCCCGTAACTCTGATGCTCTTATTGGTCGCCCGGATGGTATCACAGTGAACCCCTGGAAGAATGGCAAGCAGTTGGTATGGGACTACATGTGCGTATCAACCCTGGCTAACACCTACATTGACCTCAGTGTTGCACAACCAGGTGGCGCTGCCACCCACAGGGAAGCAGCCAAATCCCGTAAGTATAGAGAACTGGATCACCACTACAATTTTGTCCCCATTGCTTCTGAGACACTCGGCGCCTGGGGTAAAAGTGCTACCAGTTTTTTTGAAGGAACTGGGGCCGGATTCAGGAAGGTACTTACGAAGGTTTTTCCTCTTAGCTAAGAACGAATTCCTTCTTAGCGCCTTCGTGGCGGCTAGGTCCGTATTCAAAGAGCTACCCTAAGTGGAAAAACCTTCGTAAGTTCATTCCGGGATTTAAGTGTGGTTTCGACCACTCGTAGCTTTACGTAAACTGGATATAAGTCATTTTTTCTCTACTACATAACACTGGGATCGATTTATGATATTGGAACATGACCAAAATATTATAGCTGGTGAATCTAGTGAAGAAGAGTCCTTCGTGTTAGTTATATATGCATTCTCTGCTTGAAACTTGAAGTAAATATGTGTTTGATGATAGTAGAATTAGTTTTATAATAGCAAGATATTATACCAGTAGTTATTAAGTAAATAAACACTGGTGAACATGAAATATGAGAGAAGGTGATGAGCCCTGCCTGATGGGATCATTTACTATCACCAAATGCCCCTGTTCACCTAGTAGTAAGGGTGTACCTTAGCTATACATACCCATTTCTAATTTATTTAGTTTGGTTTTATTTTGAAATTAAATCTGGGTGAGACATAAAATAAAAATATGCTGCACAAATGATGTTAGGTAAGGAAAAGGGCAAAAATGTCAAAAACTTTATTCATTGAATACTTAAAGCTATAATTATGACTATATAGACTACTAAAAAAGAGAGAGGGAAGTAGGGGTCCAAGACCTCTTCCTGTTATACAATTTGGGTGTGGAACAAGTAATTATCAAAAGAAGGCACCATGCCGGGAAGGCTATGCAGCAGTAAGGCAGTGAGGTGAGGCAGCTACTTATTTGAGAAATGCTTATTTTATTTACCTTGTAAGCTGAGGCAACTTATTTTATTTGAGGCTCAGCTGATTCCTCTACATTTAGCATGGAACAAATTTGTGTCCAAGACCTCTTCCTGTTACTCAATTTGGCTGTGTGTAACCAAACTAGAAGTGCTCTACAAATCAAGGGACCCAGAATGTGGAATGACCTCCCGAATCATGTCAAAGGCTGTATACCTCTCTCAACCAGTTTAAGAGTTAAACCAAGTACTGCCTAATTAACTCCATGTAACATAACATACCTCCTAAATGTCAACCCATGTCTTGCTATTTTTTAAACAACGCTGTTCACCAACATGTGCAATTGCTGAGTTATGCTATGTTAACCCCCTTTTTGTATTTTTTATTCCTTCTTTCAACACAATTTATACCTAATCTCGATTGCTATTAAGTTTTAGTCTGTGTTTTTTTCCCCCCACACCTTGCCCGAAATGCTATGAGTATTAGTGGCTTTAGGTATTGTATGTACTAGCTCTGCCTATAAATCCAACATTATGTTTGTAAATCAACTGTATGTACTTTTCCTGAATAAAATGTATTTATTATTTATTTTTTAATCAGTAAGTATTAAAAGAAGGCACCAAGCTGGGAAGGCTATGTAGCACCATTGTGCGTAACAATAAACCAAATTTTTTTTTAACAAATAATGCACCTGTATGGGAAAACAAATCCTGTCAGCTGTAAAAATATTGATGCAGTTATTTAAATGAAAAATATAATGAAAGAAATATTACTGGTTTATTTTTATCCTATCTTTTTGTACTGTACAGTATATCCAAGGAAGTGAAAAATTAAGACATAATGCACAATTTAATAAATGATTAGCATGGATTAGCAGTTCAAAAGAAATATGACTTGTATTACATATCAACATGAGATCTTAATGATCCATGGTCAACATGATTTAATAAGGATAATACAGTACTGTATTTGTAATAATACAAACTATAATTTAAAATCTTTATTACTGATTTTTTTTATTAAGAAGATTAGGTATACACAGCAATGTGCTGCTACCCTATTCTATATGGAATATTACACAGTGTAGATAAAAAACTAGCTATAAGTTTATCTAATACTCCCATCTCACAGGATGGTTAGACATACTGTACATGGAATCAATTTAGAAAATACCAGCCTCAATACAAAAAACAAATCAACTCTGACTAAACAACTCTAAGCAATTTTCACAAGAGGTAAGCACTGAATCATGGAAACATTATATTATAATTACTCTTACCAGTTTCTACAAAACTCCTCTCAAACAATGTATTTTTAAACATGTTTAGGTATACACAGCAATGTGCTGCTTCCCTATTCTGTATAAAGGACCACACAGTGTAGATCAAAAACCAGCTACAAGCTCACCCAACATCCTCACCTCACAGGATGGCCAGTCATACATGGAATTAGGAGAGAACAAAATACTTAATGCTGATCTATTAGCCTCCACTGGCAAAATCTGGGTGCAGCACAAGAATATCTTCCAATATTCCTGAGTGTATGAAGTAATTACAGAGCTCAAAGTACCTCATACCATTTGGTATGAAGTCACTGATAACAGGACAATCACAGATATAGTGTTGGAGAGTATGTTCTCTCAAGTAGGACTGAAAACAGATTTTTTTTTTTCCACCAAGAAGGCTATAAACCCATGGAACCGCCTACCCGCTGAAGCCGTAAATGCCAAATTCCAGTTAAAAAATAACATTAATTCAATTGGCGGGCCCTTTAACAAGCCGCCGGCTTTCTGTCCTCTTCGAGGTCACTAGATAGTTAGTGGCCATTGGGTAAATTCAGTAAATATATACAATAATTGTCAGCGCATCTTCCGAGCAACAAGGACAGCTACACAGTATCTCTTAGAATTACGTAGGTAAACAACAAATGTAACATATTTGTTTACTACAATGTCGGTGCTGGCTGTAGAAGTTGAAAAAACATTGTTTTACTTCGAAATATACTAATTTTATAAGAAAATTAGACGTAAATAGGAGGCAGTAGAGCTCCTATAAGCCAGCGCTAAATCTTCAATATGAAGAATGTTGCTGTTCTCTGATTGGCCAAACGAAACACAGTAGTGACCTCTATCGGCACGCAGGTGAACCAACAATTTTCTTCCTATGTATACCTTATTGAATCGCACCTAAGCATCTTCTTAGGGCGCACTTAGGAACCTTCGTAGCAAACCCACTTACGAAGAAATACACAGAGCTTCCTGAATCTAGGTCCTGGGTTCTAGGCTCCTTGAAACAACAAAGGACCCTAGAGGTGCCAGCTTTCTTTTCCAGCGCCTCAGCGTGGCGAGGCGCTGGAAATTGATGTCTCGAACATGACCACGATTGTAACTCAATTACCTTGTATGTGAGAGTTCCTCATCCACCACCTTTTTTTATTGCTATTCCCTTTATTAAAGACAGTCACACAGCTACAAAGCTGATTGGTTACAAAATATGAACATTAAAAAAAGGTAAGATATTTACCGGAAAAGTTTCCTTCGTAGAGATTGCAAATTTATTTCATCGAACCCACTAACGTTGGGAAGGAACCCAACGAACGCAGGGCAGGAATCCCACCAACGCTGGCCATGAACCCTACCAACGCTGGCCTGGAACCCCACCAACGTTCGCCAGGAACCCCACCAACGTTCGCCAGGAACCCCACCAACGTTCGTCAGGAACCCCACCAACGCTGGACAAGAACTATAATTACGCTGGTCACGAACCCCAGCAACGCTGGCCATGAACCCTACCAACGCTGGCCTGGAACCCCACCAACGTTCGCCAGGAACCCCACCAACGTTCGCCAGGAACCCCACCAACGTTCGTCAGGAACCCCACCAACGCTGGACAAGAACTATAATTACGCTGGTCACGAACCCCAGCAACGCTGGCCAGGAACCCCACCACCGCTGGCCAGGAACCCCACCAACGCTGGCCAGGAACCCCACCAACGCTGGCCAGGAACCCCACCACCGCTGGCCAGGAACCCCACCACCGCTGACCAGGAACCCCACCACCGCTGGCCAGGAACCCCACCACCGCTGGCCAGGAACCCCACCACCGCTGGCCAGGAACCCCACCACCGCTGGCCAGGAACCCCACCAACGCTGGCCAGGAACCCCACCAACGCTGGCCAGGAACCCCACCAACGCTGGCCAGGAACCCCACCAACGCTGGCCAGGAACCCCACCACCGCTGGCCATGAACCCCA